ATGCTCCCTCTCAGCTGTGGAGTCTTGTGAGCAAGAATTCTACTTTGTGAGCTGCCGGCACTAAAGTGAGCGAGCGATTTGGCTGCTGCATAAATTAGTTTGCTCTGGAGCCCTCCTTCCTGAGCGGAGGCAAAAATGTGTGAGCCAGAGGCTAAAAAATCTGTGAGCTGGCTCACACTAACTCATCTTAGAGGGAACACTGGACCCATCTTGATCTATCTTCCAGATGAGTGGCTGTATTAGCCTGTAGCAGCAAAATAAAATGGGAGTCCTCTGGGATGTAATAAAACTAGCAACATTAATTCCAGCACAGGTTTTCGTGAGTCAGAGCTTCACAGCAGTTTTGGAATAAAAATAGTGTCTGTATGCAGCCTGATGGGAGAGAGGGACTGCCTCTTCTAGTCCCACACAGGTCCATCAAGCGAAAGTGATTCCCCCACCTCCCTCAGTTAGGGAAGGAAGGAAGGAAGGAAGGAAGGAAGGAAGGAAGGAAGGAAGGAAGGAAGGAAGGAAGGAAGGAAGGTGAAGAAGAACAACAGGAGAAGGAGATTGGATTTTTACCCCACCCTTCATCACCTGAAGGAGTCTCAGAGCGGCTTACAATCTCCTTTCCCTTCCCCTCCCCACAACATACACCCTGTGAGGTAGGTGGGGCTGAAGGAGCTCTGAGAGAACTGCTCCTGAGAGAACAGCTCTGAAAGAACTTATGACTGACCCAAGGTCACACCAGCAGCTGCATGTGGAAGGGGGAATCCAACCCGGTTCTCCCTGATTAGAGTCCGTGCTCCTAACCACTACAGCAAATGGGCACCCAACCACTTCCAAGTAGGGAAGCACGAATGGAGGGTGACGGTGGTAGTTTCAGTTGGCAGAACGGTGTAGGAGGGGAAGAGTTAAATCAATTCCCTGCCCTTAATTCTGCCTGGATGCTGTTTCCATTTTTAAAAGTTGGAAGACCTGTTTATGGATTTCCCAGTATCTTAACCATTGGACTCCCCACAGTGGAAGTTGGCCTTAAGAGGGTCTAGATAAATGTAAAGGAAGGAAGCTTATGATAGAACAGGAGTTACTGCTGAACAGATACAGAAAGCAGAGTGAATGGGAAGAAAGCAAAAGGGTGGAGCAGTGATTAACCCTTCCCGTGCCTGTGCTGTTTTCCCAGAAATCCGTCTTCCCCAACTTCTATTTTCCCAGAGAGGCTCTGACATGATATAAATGCTGCAGAAAGAAAAGCAATTTAGTGAAAGGACATGAAGCTGCCTTACATTGAATCAGACCATTGGTTCATCAAGGTCTATATTGTCTACTCAGACTGGCAGCGGCTCTCCAGGGTCTCAGGCTGAGGTCTTTCCCATCGCCTCCTGCCCGGTCCTTTTAACTGGAGATGCCAGGGATTGAACCTGGGACCTTCTGCATGGCCCCTCTTTACAGCTCTCTGGGGTCTCAGGCTGAGGTCTTTCACATAACCTCCTACCCGGTCCTTTTAACTGGAGGTGCCGGGGATTGAACCTGGGACCTTCTGCATGCCAAGCAGAGGCTCTGCGACTGAGCCACGGCCCCTCTTTACAGCTCTCTGGGGTCTCAGGCTGAGGTCTTTCACATAACCTCCTACCTGGTCCTTTTAACTGGAGATGCAGGGTATTGAACCTGGGACCTTCTGCATGCCAAGCGGAGGCTCTACCAGTGAGCCGTGATGGAGGTGGGAAAGTTCAGAATGCACCTTCCGTATGTCACCTCTCTGCATTAATGGCTGCCACCCACACTTGACACTGCCATGGAGAATGTAAAACTATGACACAGTGGGTGTGTTCAGACGTGGCCTTTCTGCCGGCATAAACTGCACCGGTTGGAACCGGTGCAGTTTATGCCGGCAGAAACGCGATCAGACTTACCCTCCATCTTGCAGAGCCCTCTGGTGGACGCCCGCTCACACGCTGCGGGCGTCTGCGTGTGTGTTTTTTAAAAAGGACAGTTTGAGCATGCGCATAGGCAGCCATTCAGAGAATGGCAATTTTTGCGCATGCTCAGACCCCCCCCCCCCCGTACATTTAAACTTTAAAGGTAAGCACTTACCTTTAAAGTTTAAAGCCCAACCTGGCCTCCCTGTAGTCCCGGACTCCGGGAAGTTAAAGTAAGGCTTTTTTTTTTTTACACAAACGCTCAGGGCGAAGCTTCGCCTGAGCGCATATCGCTTCCTTTTTTAAAAAATGGCGGGGGAAAGCCGGAAGCCTCAGGCTTCCGACGGAAGTGTCTCTGTAACGGAGGAGAGCGATCAGACGCCGGGGTGCACCGATTAAAACCGTTGCACTCTGTTTACCACCACTTCGGACCTAGTGGCAGAGTGCAACGGTTTAAAGGGATTTACAACAGTTAGGGACGGGAGGCAGATGTTCGCCGTCTGAACGCCCGTAAGTACACTGGTTGGAACCGGCACCCTAACCGTTGTAAATCCCCCGTCTGAACGCACCCAGTAAGTGATAGGCATTCTGGGCAGTTCTCAGTATTTTTGAAGGGGTCTGTCACAATTTCTACAAGCAATGCTCCCTCTAAGCTGTGGAGTCTCGTGAGCAAACATTCTGGTTGGTGAGCTACTGGCCTTAAAGTTGTGAGTGAATGATTTGTCTACTGCATAAATTAAGTTTGCTCTGGAGCCATCCTTCCTGAGCTGAGACAAAAATGTGTGAGGGTCAAAAACTGTGAGCTAGCTCACACTAACTCAGCTTGGGGGGAACACTTGGCTGCCAGTGTACCTTTGTGCATTGGCATGTCACAGACTTGGTTCCTGTTCTAACATACAGCCATCATGCTTCTACAGTAGGGTTGCCAGGTCCCCCAGGTCTCACCTGCAGGTTGGTATCCCCATCTTACAGCGACTTAGATTCTTAAGAGCTAACATGTTGGAAACTGAGGCACACACACCTTAAACCCAGGACCATAGCCAGGAATTTCTAAGTTGGGGGGCATTTAAATCCCTCAGGGGGCACTGGCTAATCCAATTAAATGTAATTTAATTAACTTGATCGGTGTGGCGCAAGAGAGAAAGGTGCAGTGGAGGGCTAAGGCAAGGAGAAGCGGCGGCCACAGCGGCATGGGGGAGCTCATGGTGGCCGCTGCATCTTACCAGAAAGTCAGAGGGCCTGGGCCGAACGGAAGTCGGGGGGGTCCTTGGTAGGAAGTTGGAGGGCCGGGCCCCAAAATGCCCCACTGTAGCTAAGGGCATGCTTAAACCCCATCAGTTCCCGCCTTAGGAGCACAGCACTCAACAGAGTGTGCAGGCAACCCTGTTCCAGTCTTATCCAATTGTGAAGGTTGCTGACCCCAGTTGCAACACAGTTCTTATCTGTGGTTCCATGACTGTACCCTCCTCCATCCCATCCAAGGACTTGCAAAACAGCTCCGTTATCCAGCCTGTGTTCCTTATAGGTGATTCACTTTCCTCTTGGTGCTGCAACGTAAAAAAGATTGCAGGCTCCATAAAGCTTGGGGAAGGGATAAAAAAAAAAAGGTGCCATTTTTATTAACTGCAGGAAGCAGACTGGGAGGCAGGGAAAAGAGGCAAGCTAGCCACTGATCAAGCATAGCCCTCTGTGCGCAGCGGGAAGCTATGGCGGCTCAGCAGGGAATGTTGGCGCGTCTATCTCCGTCTAAGCTGCGAAGAAGCGATTATATTTATTTCACGCTGGAAAATAAAGGAGGGAGAAGAGAGGGACAGAAAAAAAAGGGCTAGTGAATATCTGCCTTCTAGAGCGAGTGCCCCCCCCCCCAAAATCATATATCTATGATTCGGTCTGAACTAAGACTTATACTAGTTTAAGACTCGTTCCTTCTCCCCAAAGCACCCTGGGAATTGTAGTTCAGTGAGTGGGATTCTGCAACATTTTCTTTTTTATATTTCTGCATTTGTGTGTGTGCCCGTGCCTATAAGTCATGGCGACCTCTGGCAACTCCTACTGGGGCATGGAGGACATTCAGATAAGTGGCTTGATAGCCTGCCTCTGCCTTCCAACCCTGGTATTCTCTGGAGGTCTCCCATCCAAATACTTGCCAGGGTCGGCCCTGCTTAGCTTCTGAGATCTTACGAGATTGGGCCTGCCTAGCCTACCCAGGTCAGGGTGATTCTGCAACTATTGATATGCTTACCAAGCTAAAATCCCCATGATTCTTTAGCAGAAGCCATATTATATAGATGGATACGTGTTAGATGTGTAGGTATACACAAAGAGTCCAAAGTGGGATGCCATCTTCCTTCCACACCAAGCTAAAGTAACCGCTAGCATTTTGCCTGCAATTGTGGGGTTTATTATGGTTTTAACTTGGGGTCCAAATGTTTAGCCTGGGTTATAGTCTGTGCTTGCACAATAACGTTCTGAGCCGTGGTATCTGGAATTCCACCCCTGGCAGAAATCTGCATTTTATTCACTTTCGTTTTATCCTTTTACACACCTGATTCTGCTTCTGTTAATCGCCAAGACCTACGCACGGGACTGATAATCTACTGCAGACTTCAGGCTGTCTCCATTCCCTTTCCCCAGCCTCCTGAGATATGCGTTTGTACATAAATGCTGTCAAGTCGCAACTGACTTATGGTGACCCCACCCAGGGGCTTTCAAGGCACACAAGAAGCCGAGCTGGTTTGCCATTGTAGAGTCTTCTTTGGTGGTCTGCCTTCCAAGTACCAACCTTGCTTAGCTTCCAAAATCTGACAACACAGGGCTATAGGATGTCGCCTTCTCTCCCCAGAGACATAACATCAACCAAAATGTTTTCAAACCTATCACTGCGGCCATAAGGAGGAGGGGATTGGTTGGGAGGGCGGGTGAATGAAACTTGAGGTGCTGAATTTTGCACTGTTGGAATGGTGTGCTGCACACGACCTGGGCCTTAGCCACTTTGCTCTGGGGTTGTATATGGAAGTCACCGCTGCTAACCAGCTCAGGAATTGGGCTGCTTGACACTCTTTATCAGAAACCGTATTGCCATTTTTCATGGGACAGACTCACCTGTGCAGGTCCTCTTGTTTTTGTGCAGCACGTAGCCGATGTGACAGCTGCAATAAAAACCACCCAGGTAATTGTGGCAATAATGGTCGCAAGATGGCTCACTGTCAATCAGCTGTTGGCACTCGTCAATATCTGAGGAAGGGTGAAAAGAGAGCAGGTTAAACTTATCTTGCCCAAAGTGAAATGAAACTATTTTTTGGGGGGAGGGGCAGGATTTATAGAAAGGTGTGGTGACAAACACAATACCAAGGTGGATAATGGGACATGCCAAGGGGATGGTACAGGTACAATGATGGCATTTTCCAGACTGCCTTAAAGTTTCATTTTCATTCCCCAATGTTACCTGGGGTTTTTGTGTGTGTGTGTGTTCAGACAACTTCGTAAACATCCCAATGCTGTCCCAGTTCTCTCCCCCCCCGTTCCTTTTAAAACTGATTTAAAACCAGCATCATCTCTTCAAAAAGACAGTCGTTTCAAAAAATATGGAGCTGCCTGGCAATGGAAAAAAGATTTCAGATCCAATTTCCACTACAGAAAACCCATTGTTTCGATCTTATTTCTTAGGAAAATGGTTCCCTTCCTTTGACTATGTTAAAAATCACCCGAAAACTAAAAATCCATTACCAAAAAAGGACGCATGTTTGGCTTTTTATTAAATTCAATGTCTTAGTCTTATTATGATGTTATTGCTGTTAAAGTTTTTTCCCTTTATTTTGTTAACTGGGTTTGTACTTGTTCTTTTTTTTTTAAAAAAAATGTTCAACAATAAAGCATTTGAAAAAAATAGGCATCCATGTAATAAAACCCAAATAAAAATCAATCTCCCTACAATAATCGAATAAAAGAGAGACGTTAAAACTATTATCCAAAGCATTTAGTCAGCATGCTAACCCACACTGGTTAAAGCACGTCGTCTCTGGAGTTCATGTTGCCTCCATTGCAAAAGGATCACAGGCAACAACCTCTAGACTGAGTGCCGTGTAGGGTCAGCGTACCTGCATCTATCGGTCCTGAAAAGAGAAAGCCATCTTTTGCCCCTCACCTTCAGCAGCGTAGAACGCCTCAAAGCCAGTGAACCCCTTCTCATTTGAGTAGTCCGATCGGAAGGTCACTGCCAGGTTGTTGTCAACCGAGTGGAACGTCTTGTCCCCTGGGGCTTCCTCCGTGTCGGTGCTCTCATGGCCACATAGAGTAGCCAAGACCTTCCCTCCGGACTGCATCTGTAATGTGGGTTGTGGGTGGGTGGGTGATGTCAGTAAGATTCTTTATCTATTTAGAATAGGTCTATGCTGCCTCTTCGGAGCCCGTCTCGAGGCAGCTTTCAATGAAAAGCCACAGTATTCAGACATGAGCCATTAAAACACAAGTTGTTAGACTTAAGCGGCATAAAAAACACCCCATAAAACAGAAGCAGACCAATTAATAAAGAAATAAGGTGAAACCCATGAGCCTGGGTAAAAAGATGTGTTT